ACGTTTAAAAATTCACACTACGGATGAGAAGATTATAAAGTTGTTGTTTTGATATCAAAAACATAGGACAATTATCTAGCACGTATTCGTTATTAGATTGTGATATCTCGAAAGCAGCTGAAGCCCGAATAAGGCTTGAAATAAAACGTGAAAAATTCATAATAGGTCTCATAAAAAATTCGGAATCTTCAGTATTCAGGAATTTAAAAATCGAAGAAAATCTGCGGTTCGTATTTTAAAATTTTAAGTTAAAGTTAGCTCCGATGTCTAGAACAATCCTCAATCACTATTCATAGGATCGCAAATTCCAAAAATTTGTAAAAACTAGAAATAAAGGGGCAGGAAGACCGATTGGGTCGGTCGATAGCCTTTTTCTGTAGGAAGTAAAGATTATTTATATACAGGATGGCCATTTTCTGAATCTTTGTGTGTGTAACTTCTACATTTTTAAAGATAGAGAATCCGTTAAAGGGGCAAAATTGGGCAAAAAGTTCTACCAAAGACAATTTTAACTTTTTCTCTAATTTAAGCAGTTTACGAATTATATGATATTTTTTGCCTTTTCAGGATATTTCAGGAACCAAGTCGGGTACTTAAATTTTGAAAACGGTAACGAATAAACAATCGAATTCTGCCCAATTTTGCCCATTTAACGGATTCTCTATCTTTAAAAATGTAGAAGTTACCCATACAAAGATTCTGAAAATGGCCACCCTGTATATGTACATATATAGAAACAAAGCCCACGAACGTCAGGTTTGAAAAAATTTGAAAATAATCTGTTCCTCTAAAATTTTCTAGTATTTTTTCCCTATGTACTTTTCTATTGTAATGTCCATTCAAGACCCTGCAAAAAAATTGCTGTTTCCAATGATCACTGACCCAAAGAGAACAATTCAAAAAGCTATTAAAATAATCACGTTGCGTTATCGACACATGATAATAATAAGCGGTTTGTATATTTTACACGCAGTTTAAGTAGCCGGGCTTGACGATTTTCGCAGTTATATCACAAATATACGTAATACATATTATGCTTATCTTGTACAACGGTAAATCTGATTTGTTGAAGTTGAAATGCTTATCAATAATTGTACATAAGCGTCGGTTTTACCAGTGACTATTTTTATCGCATGAAAATAGGAATGCTACAGCAGCAGCATGTCTGTTTCATTCATATGGGACCGGTAGAAAATAACTTTCTAATCTTAGAAATTAATTTTTGTTACTTTTTCTCTATAAACTGGAATGTATTTGGGATATTAAAAGATGAACAAAGGCACGCGTGCATTGGCGCAAGTCTTGCAAGGAATGGGAAAGCTTGCCTAGTTCCTTATTGAGTTTTCTTTCTTCAATTTCTCCTTAATACCACAAATAAACAGTTCCTTATTGAAATGCTAGACCTGAACAAATATCATTCGTAAAAATTAGCACTTGTTCACAATGTAAAGGAGCGTACATTGACTTCATAATTTCCAGCACATGCTCGTAAAAATAAATACACTACCTTGAATCGTCGAGAACAAGAAAACTGCATGATATATTTGCCCACTTGGTCCTAGTTTAAATACACAAATACAAAATTCATCATTTTAATTAACTTGAAGGCGAATTTTATTATCAATTGCATAATATGAAATATAGAACAGATGTTGTTTTAACGATGAGGCACACAGCAAAGGGATTTATTATTTGTGTATAAAAACATAAAACACAGAATGTTTTTGAAATAGACAAGTGCAGATTTCGAAATGCGCCAACCTCAGGCCTCTAGGACCGGTTTCAAGCTTGTTCACGCTCTTCAGCTTCCTAGAAGAGCATATTGAACAAATTTATTTCCCATATTGCGATTTGAAGTAATTTCATCAAATAGCAAAATGAACAGGTGTATAATGCAAAGTTAATTATTTCTGCAAAAATAGGAAAATTATAAAATTCACATACATATTTTTCGAGATTATATCGGGATGAAAACCAGGAGTGATATTTTTTTTGTGAAAATAGACGATAATGTGAATCGACTTCAAAACTAATATTTCGAAAAAGTGGTAAACTTTCATTACTGAATAGATCTCCTGTTGGAAAACGGTTCATTTCACTAATATCAAACAAGAGTACCCTTTTTTAGCTTAAGCTTTTGGCTTTCCAAAAATAGTTTTCTTGTGATATTATGATACTGGGTGTGCTGGTCGATTTCTGTCGTAGTCAGCCAGCAAAACAAGCTTAAAATACACTGTTTTAAGGACCCTTAACTGGTATCTAGCGTAATAAAAATATATCAAATTATACCAAATAGTTTAAAAGTTATTTAACAAAAACCTATTTTTGGCGGCGTCTTTTAGGGGCTTATATATTGGTATGAATGGTCTGCACATTGAGACATTTTCTCATAGGGAATTATTTTGACACCCTGTATATGTACCCGAAAGCATGCCCACATTTTTCGGAACACCTTGTATAATCTCCTGTTCTGTGCTTTTTTTCAAATGGATGGAGCGCCATCAAATTTCTGGCTTGATTTCAATTTAATTGTAGGTATTCTTTAGGTCATTACATTTTGCGCTTGTTCATCGCAGAAAGGAAGATAAACCTTCATAGAACTCACATTTATTTTTATCGTAGACTCTAATTCCATAATAATATACAGGGTATATATTCCAGTTAAAAAAATGCTACTTTACTTATCCATAAAATTATACTCTAAAAATCGAATAGTTTAGCTGCAATCTTCCGGGTCACATAATTTGAATAACCCTGTACAACCATCAGATCTGTGCCCCATTTGTTATGCAACACCCTGTATGTGTTATGAATTCGAAACCTAATGGTTTAATCACTTGCATAAATATTTTCCCATGGATATATGTAGCTTATAAACATGCAAGCACTGTTAAATCGTATGCACGCAGCCGTTTTCTATAGCTACGAGCTACGAGTGTTGAAATTCGATAAGTAGGTACACAATTTGAAAGAATACAAATTACTAATAATATACCATTTTCAAGCCGCATTAAAAGTTTTCCATCACTTTTTAATGGTCCATTGAAAATTTAAGGAAAATTGTCGCTACTTTTTTGATGGCACTGCAGGAACCGTGAGAGTTAGATCGGGTATCGCGTTGATTTCTTAATAAGCATTCAAATTAATTAAGTATAAAATACAGGTTAATACTGAAGGTAATAATACTTAGGCAAAGATTCGTCGTCAAATGTGTTTGTTTCCGCGAAGCAGAGAGCCCTTAATCAAATCTACAAATTGAAATTACCCAAAACGATTCCTATATTCAATCAGTTTCTTTCTAATGATGGAAAGAGACGTCTTATTGCTTGATTATGTATTTTACTGTCCATCGAACCTCATTAGTACGATATCAGAAACGGTATCCGATACAAAATTGATTAAAGTATGACAATAATAGGCTCAACTAAATGTGGTCTATTTCTCGTCTAAGAATTAGGCAAAAATACCCATTTAAACATTACACTCTAATAACAGTTTTTAATTTATTTTCGTATGTATTTAAGTTCTATTTACTTTGTATAAAATACGTGAAAATACACACTAATATATTTATTATTCTGTAAATATTGCTTTTATGGAAATACTGCTGTCCTATTCATAAAGTAAATGTTACCTGGAAGGCATAACGTTCAGTTCATACAAATGATTTCTTAAAATTATCTTGCATGCAACTTTCAAAGTGGTATTTTTAAAGCACAAAATGGAGCAAGTTTGCAATCATTTAACTTACGCTGTTAGCAAGTTGGTTAGTTGATTTTTTTGCAAAATGCATAAGAAATTTGTAAAAAATTATACCAAAGAAAATGGACGCCGTTTCCAACAATCCATATGTATATATTATTAAAAATTACACCTAGAAATAATGAGGCTTAAAAAACCTATGTTTTAATGAACTAAAAAACCGGTATTATTAGTTGTTGGGTGGTTATGTACCTACCCAAAGAAACTACTTAAGGATTAATTCAAGTATAAGTTTGCTTAGTTTAGAGGCGTTATTTCTTGAAATAAATATTATCGTTTGAACGTTTTGGACTCTTAATACTCGAACTATTTGTACAATTCAAATGTTGCAATAAATGGTTGAAATGTATATCAAATACATTCGCAAGCCAGTAGAAACGAGCAAACTGATGTGAACTTGATAACGGCAAGTGAATGGGCATAGTCGTCGAACCATTAAAACAGGTTCAGTATAGAATATGCTTTTTCTTCAATGATTGATTTTTTTGTCCAATGTTTTATATAGAGATTAATTAAGCATTGTATTAATAAATAATATTACATTGTCAGTGAATCATACAGAGATACTTTGGTAGGTTTCAATGTTAAGCAGTGACTATTCTTTTTCATTTTGCTATTAAAACTTCATGTTGGAAAGTTACTAAAAGGTTTATCAACATCTTTACACTATCACTGTATTTTATTGTGGATTCTGTAAAAAGTCAAACAAAAGAACGGAAGTTGACTGTTTGGAAACAAAAAAATATATATTTATTTCAATTTCAGCCCTATTTTTTCCGACTTAAGAAAGTATTACATCGAAATTTTATGTCGACAAGTTTATTTATTAAAAACGATTTATTAGTTGTCAAAACGATGTAAGAATTATATTGCTTTAAAATATGTAGAAAGAAATACAGATTTCTAGAGTCTATAATCTCTTGGCTCTGATGATGCCGAAAGTTTCGTTTTCTCTTCAGTACTGATACTGATTGATATTGCCTCCGTACTTGTGTATTTATTATATATTTTTATAAAGCGCAATTGTTCAATCAGGATAAAAATAATTATCTAGGTAATGTGTTTTGAACCAATTCATTACTAATTTTTTTAATGGAATGCATAGGGGCAGAAAAATCTACAACCTGATTTAGTGAAAGAGTAAAAAGTTGAACAAATTAAAACGGTTCCAGTACCTAAAACTACCAACACATTGCTATATTTTAGAACTAATGAAATATCATGCAAAAGTAACTTACGTGGGTAAACTGTTGGACGATCCTCACGTGTTCTTCTTGATACGCTTTTCGAATTTTGCGTTTTTCCGCATACAAACTGTTTAAAGCGTCCAATGCCTTAATTTCGACGGTATCCGCGTTCTGTCTGATTAATTTCGCCGTGTTCTCCAATTCTTCCATCATGTTTCTCCATGCCGAACACACTACACTTCCTGAAAATGAAAAATTCTCAATTATTTAATTGTTTAAATAAATTCTGCACAAAGAAATATTAAGTATGTTAGTAACAAAACTCTAATCCTTGTTAATTATAAGAGTGATTTTTATTTAATCCGATTACCTTAGAGTTGAAATGTTATTCATGTAGAACATCTACAACAGATAGTTCGGTGGACTAAGTGTATTCTGCCATTATTTTTGACAAAGTTCGACTTCAATCTGAATTTTTATTAAATCGTAAAAACGGGGAAAACATCTTCAGTTTGTACGAGGTCTTCTTGCTTAACATTTGAGCCGAATATAATTTTGATAATGCAAATGACGGAGTGAATGTTTAATTTTATATATATTTTTTTTTAATTATACAATGCAAATAGAGTAGGTACAAAAACTACTTTATTTTTTGTTGTGTATGTTTTAATAATCAAGTCAAATCTAATAAATCTCTAACTCTAAGAGGAGCAGCATTACTTAGCTATTTTTACTGATTTTAGACACCATAAAGTGCCGCAAACGGTATGAATATTGAAACAACAATTGGCATATAGAAATCATCATATTTCATACTTAACACATAAATATAACAAAATTTGAATAATAAATTGAAAATTACCACCACAGATCGTGATTATATTTAACTGTATATTCTGACTTTTGGTCGAACAAGCAATATCTTCTAGAAAAATAATCCTAATAATGTTTTCAAAGCTTTTTCAATTGCAGAACAAATTAGCATTTTCTGCAACATTTTTCCTCATAAATTAGTGAAGAACTGTATAATTTTCTAACGAGTCTGTTTCATTTCTAAAAAAACTGGATTTTTCAAGCCAAATTAAAAGCTTAATTAAAAATAAAATTATTTGTAGCTAAAAAACTTTCGAAGGTATTAACTCAGTTTGAATTTAAGTGAATAAATTTCATATTTTTCTTCATCTATAAGAAATTTTCAAAAAACGAATAAATCCAAATTCAATCCTGTTATAAAGTGTATGTAGAACACACAAGCCATATTTTACTACCACTTGTGAAAATATTGAGAAAGTTGAGACTTTCTTTGAAGACTTGAATCTGAGCGTTTGTTTATAACTTTGCGGTAAATATATACAAAGCGCACTAATAATTAATATTGCTAATTTATAAATTCTTGGCCATGTCGTCCTAATTGGGAAATTTGGGTTTAAGCTAGACGTACACTCCTATCCAAAATGTTAAACTTTTTTATTTTTTAACGTTTCGGCAGTGCCCTGCTGCTTTCCTCAGGGTTACAGATAATGAATGAATTAAGACACGATTCCACGTCAGCACAAAAAAAATCCAAAAAACATCATGTCACGGCACACAAATTACTTTTTTTTGGTCACACCTTAAAATTTTGTCGAATTTAAAATATTTAAATAAAATTTCTGGTCTCTCCATGCTAAGAGATAATGTTGACTGTAAATGATTAATATTGTTAGTTCTCACCTATTTAGCAAGATACTTAGCAGTTTAGCTTAAATTCAACATTACGTATTTCCGTTCTACATTCTACTTTAAAAGTATACATACACATGGGGCAAACTGGGCCAGAGTGCACCCTGTGAAATGTTATATCAAATATAATCGTTTTTTCAAACGTTTCTTTAAAGCACTTTTCTAAATATAGAAACTGCTATAAAAGGCAGAATCGAAATTCTTCGCTCAGGTAAAATTGTTTTTCAGTTGAAAAACTTGATTATCTAGCGGGTGGAAATACCGATATTCCAATAGATGCTCTGACCAGTAGACTATTTTCTTATTAAACTGGATAAAACACTTTAATCTTTTATTATCTATTTAAAACTTTTAATTCACTATCAAGTTGCTCTTGATAGGAAGCACTAATTGAATATATTTTCCCTAATTTTAACAAGATCTCTTCGTTTTCCTGTTTGTCATTAGAAGCTGCTTTATCTACTTCAATTACTGAACAAGTGTAATATTTACCTTTAAACTCGAAGAAACTGTTGCAAAAAAAATTCAGAAAAAGACTTTACAAAGGAAATATGTGTAAACGTTCAAAGAGGAAATATCGTAAGAAGTGAACATGGATGCCTCTTGGGATGAAAATAGGATTTGCAAGCGCAAGCAGAAGATGTGCTTGTTTGCGAAACCTACCAGCAGATTTTTTAAATACAATTACTTTTCTCACCTGACTTTTTCTGTACTTTGGAAAAGTTCGTGGAATTTTGCGAAAAATATTCTCTACCTCTGCCCTGGCTATACATAGAGCAGATAGGACAAAATTTATTTTTTATTCGAATGCGTCGAATTTTCTGATCAGAATTTAGGGTCAAACGTTAAGTAAATTCGGTTCAAATTAAGCAAATGTTTGTAGCTGTTCGTTATATAAAATCATGCGGCACGTACAATTAGCAATAATAAACCTTAAAATGTATTTGCCGAATTATTTAAATTAAATTTGTGTTATATTCAATAAACCCGCTTGAATGAATTTCTATACAAAACCGGATACTTTCCAAAAATAATCAAATCAAAAACTGCGGTAAACTGGGAAACAATTCAAGAGATCTGTTAGCTACCGCATGCAAGTTTTTCCAAATGTTCGGTTTCCAAAATTTTGAAAACTTAAGTGATCTTAAGAGCTTCAAATCCAATTAATTTACTTTTGATTCATTCAAGTTTTGATATTTTACTGTATAAAAAACCAACACCCAAAAAAAAACGAATGACTCAGATCAGGCCTATGAAGAGGCCCATGCAGCTAGCGGCTGATCTTAACGCGCTTGAGGATGGGTGCCAATATTCTTTAGTATTTTCTGGTCTCATTATTGTTTCTAGGATGGGTTTAATGTCATTTCCGTAATGTCAACAACCCAAACGTGTTTTACATCGCTAATTTAATTTAGTAACGGCGGCAACCCACATTCTTAACCTGGTTGCAAAAAACATCTACCTACTCTTACGTCAATTGGATCAGTGGCTTTAAAACTACTTATATCGAATTAAATTATTTTAATTTTTCAAAATTGCCTTGTTGATGTCAATTAATAGTTTTTTTCAATAGTTAGTAGAACTAATAAAATGGAGGTATTTCCAGTAGTGCATGAAATACACCTTCAAGGTGGGTTAGACATTCTAATAAAACAGATTTTTCACGAATAAGGAAACTACCTTTTACAGTTATTACTCATTCAGCATTAATTGACTTTCACGTTTATAGTATCGAGTGTTCAAATAAGAAAAGCGCATGGTTTATATTTTCAGCCTTGGTCTAATTTCCCTATGCTTTTGGAGTTTAATGTTGAAAATGTATTCGACACATTTTCTGCAAATTTTGTTGAACAAAGAATTGTTGTATTTTCCAATGTATAAGTTAGCAAGTTTCCTCAGATTTTAGTCAGATGAATCTAAGTAAATAGTAAATAAATACAAGAGAAGTTCGAAATTGGCGTCATTCCGCTTAAGCTTGGTTTTTGCGTTATTAGTTATTAGGTATTTTTCAACGATTAGGGGAGATAAAGACGTTAAACGTTTTTTCACAATTTCAATAACCGGAACTAAGAATACCGCTCTTGCGTAAAAAAAACTATATCGTGAATTAATAATTGAACAATATTGTCAAGAATAGCAAAGGTCGTATTTTTTATCAATACATTCTCACAGATTCTGCAATAAAAAGACTGGCAGTTTTCTAGTTGTTAATCTGAATAAGTTCTATAAAGTTTTGGAAAAGTAATTTCCAAATTAATCTCAAAAACACAGTAATTTCGGCACTCAGTTCCACCATTACACATATTTTTTAGAAGGGATAATGATTAATTAATTGGATTTTTAGATGGCAAATAATTGACTTAAAATTAAACAGTTAAAGACTTTTTTGAGTCCCGTCGCAAAACAAACCGGCATTTTTTTTCGTGGAGTGCACAGTATAATGTTATAATAGTAATAATAATAATAATAGGTTATACAACACTTGTAACAGTTGTATTTAAACTTTATTCAAAGGCACATTTATTTGAACATTTAGTATCTTGAAACTGGTGAGTCTTTCGGGCTTTTCGACTGAAACACCTCTGATAATGAAGGTCGTTCGTGTTTTCAAAACGTTTGAATGCATTATTGTTCCCGACGGGCTTATAAAGTCCAAAAACTTAGCAGTTTCAAACAGTGACTGGGAGAGCTCAATTTTTTTCATAATTAATATCTGTCTTACAAATGAAGATCAGACGATTTCTGTAGAGTCAATGTTTATTATTATCGATAATTAACGCTAGGGTTGATTCAAAGCACCAAAAGATTTTCTCATTATTTATAAATAGAACACTTTAGATTTTATCCGTTATGTGTTGTTTACATTTGATAAATTCATCAAAATGAAAGTCAAGTGATAAAAATTGTAAGATTTAAATTATATAATTTCTGAAACAAAATTGTCACATTAATGGAGTGAAGTATTCTGTTAGGCAGTCAGCTTAGTTATAGTGTGAATTTGGCTCCGATTGAGCTCTTGGTTGCTTCACCAGACATTTTCAAATTTGAAATAAAACACATTTTAATATGATATACAAGATTGGGCCAACATCACTGGATAAGGCATTAAATGGCACATTTTGACTAATTAAGGCATGAGATCTGAGGCTAGCAGATACAACAATAAGGCGGAGATTGAAAAAATGTAATACAAAAAGAGCGAAAATGATCATATCTAGAAGATAATAAAATTAAGCTCGAATCTAAATTTTGAACAATTCAAATCCAATTCAATTAATCATCTATATTTTTTTCTTCATCGCTAGGTTGAGCAAGAATTTCATTTTTAAGTGATTTATTCGCGGTTTTTCTGTTTAGTCAATATTATTAGAAAAACAAAATTAATTCGGTTATTAATTTTGAATTCATTTCAGACACATATAAATGGCTCTAAAGTTTGAACGTAAAAATTATCTTTGAAAATATTGCAATGCGCACAGGCAGTTTCTATAAAAATGTGAACAATGAATAAATCATCGAAAGGGCGAACAAGCAAATTATGATATAATTGTTTTTATTCTGTGGGTTTTTTTACGAAAAAGTGTTTGAATATTCAGTTTGCTACCGACAGTGGACTAAAAGGGTTGATAGTCCTTTTCATGTAATGTGAATCGCGTTCTTAGATGGGAGATATATCGAATCATTGTGGCCCTTATCGTGCAGGATTAAAGTATTCCATTCGAAGTCGATTTTCATTGTGTGTAGTGTGAAAGTGTAGTTAAGTTTTTGAGGATTAATGGGTAGAAAATGGAGGATGGGGCGCCAGCTTGCAAAAAGTTGGTAAGAATGAAGACAATTAGTTCAAAAAATCACTATATATTTCGATGTGAAATATCTCGAAAACTGTAATAGATATCGACTTCGAACAAGTACACATATTTTGTTTAAACAATATCGTAGAATGTAATTTTATCAACCGTATGACGAGATTTGAAACGCCAAAAAAGTTCTGATGTCTTAAATGGCTTCAGACTATTGCACCATCTAGAAACTACAAGCCAACCAATAGGGAATTTGGATTTGCCGATCTAAAATCCCCGAAACACAATTTTTTGTGGGTCTAGTAAAACTGGTGAAAAATCTGTTCAGAAAAACAAAAATTTGTATTTACACTTTGACACTCTGTATCTCGGAATCTATTAACTTTCGGATAAGACAAATTTGCCTGAAGCGCAATATTTTTGCCTAAAAAATATGTCAGTGAATTTTTTGACATTAGTTGAGAACCACCCTGTATAATTCCCATGATCAAAAATAAATTGTCATTTCACTAAAGAGTTCAGACTACAATCTAAAACTAAAAATCATCAAAACTAAGCATGAGAAAAATGGAAAAAATAACTCCATTTTTGCATTGCTTGAAAATGTAAAATTGTAAAACAAAATTACTTACCCTAAGACATCGTGCCATCTTTTAACTTCTGACAATATAAACTTAAGCATGATCTTTCCAAAATGATTTAAAAACCCATGTTCGACCTTTCGGTCTAATCTTGATCTTGCTCTAAGAAAATCTGATTATTACTTCTGAAATACTCTGTATATATTATATATACTATAAGAAAACTTGCATCTAAATAATATAAATTTTCCAAATTTTCCTTCATTATTGAATCCTGATTTATTTTCCTGACTGCGTGTACTTGTTATGATATTCTTATATTTCCTGGGTCTCAGTCAAAGTGTGAAGTAAAAATTTTGAACATTTATTACGTTTATTTCATTATAACGTTTATTTCATTACGTTTCGGCGAGACAACAGCGCCATCATCAGATTTAAAATTTGCACAAACTACAAACACCAAGTCACAATTAAAACATGTTGTATAAAAATTATAATTTACAAAGTGTTAAAACATTCATCACTTTTTGAGGGAAAAAATCCTTCCTTTTGGGAGAGCAAAACACCGGAAAAACTTACCTCATGATTGGTAAAAATCAACGTTCCTTTAGGTCTTTGCCTTCTTGAAACATTAAATTTGTCTGAATTATTTTCTACATTTGCGAAAGTGGTATGCATATATTGAGATAAGCAGAAATAGTTTTAATTTTTCACTAGTGTACTGGGTGTTCCATACTTATGGCTTTATTAGGGTTTGGTAAATGTTGCTAAGGTTGTCGGTATCTGATCTGAAATTTACTGCTTTTGCATGTTTTTTTATTTGTATCATTTCTTGAATTCTTCTTTTACGATAATTTGTGTCCCTAATTAATATATGTGCGTTGTCAAACTCAAAATTATGCAGCATTTGATGTGCATGTTGTGTTATTTTCACTAGTATTTCTCAGACTGTATTTATGTTCGTGCATTCTCTCTCAAAATTAAAAAAAAAACTAAAAAAACAATATTTAAAAAAGAAAATCAAGCAAATCAACTTTGCAGTTGAGAAAATGTGTGGTTAATTTTTGCAGTCTGCTCTTCAAATCTGAAAATATATGACAATGTCGAACATGCATAAAGTTTACCTTCTTATGACCTTGATTGATTAAAATCACCCTATATGTTATCAGAACTATTTAATTCGCATCGAAAACATCTGAAGATGCTTAAAAAAATGCGCAACTAAAAATACAAATTTCCGGGTCTGACCTTTTTTTCCCTGAAAATCAAACAGGTGATTTTTAATAAAAATGTATTCCTCACAGCGCTCAGTCTATAAATAACCCTTGATTTTCGATCAGTCCTTCACGAGTGGATTGTGATTGGACAGCACTAGGGCCCATTTTTAAAAAATATGCTCTAGCAAGAGATGTAAATAAATAGGTATTACGGCAAATGTGTGCAACTTACCAGCCAATTCATCTCCGCGGTCGATTTTCAGTCCTTGGGAAGCAACAGTACTGAGAGCAGTGGCATAATCCCTGTCGCACTTAACTTTAACATTGATACACCGTTTCATCGCTTCCAGAAGTCTCAACTCAGCATCTTGTCGCGATAAGAGCGCTTCATGGGCAATTTTGCCCTGCAGATTCGTTGAAAACCCCATTGCTTTCACCACTCAAAACGCAATAATCAAATATATTATCTTCCGATCACATTCTGAGTGAAACAATTACAGTAACGTCGATATCGCTCGATTTGCTAACCGAAATTAAATAAATACATATGCGGATTTAGAGATAAGAGCACAGGTAGGATCGCGGTTTCCGTTCGCGCGACATACTTAACAGGAAAATATCAATATCTATGGTGTTGCCGTGCCTCGAAACAAAGAAGCGATGAAGAAGTTAAAATCTTCAGCTGATGACGAACCCCGATGTCTTGCGAGACTGTAAACCTGAAACCCGCTCCAAGTGACGAGACGAAAACCGAGAAACAAACTTCCCAACTGGCTTGATGCTTGATGGAGTATTTCTAATTTTAATTATTGTGAATGCGCGCCCAGTACATGTTTCAACATAAACGTTCAGCGGCATCTTGTAGGTTCCACAGGTAAATTATTTACAGGTATCTACTTTCCGTACCACCTAGAAAATGCTCAGGTGCTTCGATTTCGATTAGTAGGTACCTGGTATGAGTATGGTATCTGCTTCGCCCCTTTTAGGCAACCGTTTGCTTCGTTCGTGAAACTGAAAGAGACTCAAAAGATCTGCCTCGTAAAACTTAGTTCGGAATGAAATATATGGACTTATTGAACTGACTGAAAGTACCAGAAAGTTACCACACCCTTTCAATAAAAGGTCGATGGAAAAGCCAGGACAGGCCCAAATCCCCAGTTGAATGCATAGGTAAGCAGTTGTTGATGTTTTGTGCTCTATGGAAGCTGGGCGCAGTTGTTTGAGACGCTCCCCGGTTAAAATGAGTCCCTCATTACACTTCTTTATTGATCACTGGGTGGTTGCTTTGATGGCTCTGCCAGTATCACCCAAAAGGAGAACAGTGTTTTTTTGCCCCTCAACTAGGCATGGGTAACTCAGTGAATTTTCAGGAGTTGGCGCAGTGAAGCCGAAATGGCTTGGTGGGCCAACCCAACGCTCCGACACAGTAACTCACCGGTTCAGTTGCGTTTCAGTGATCCATTTGGTAAAACGTTACTCGTAAAGAATGTGGTGACCATTTTTTAAGTTTAAATAACCCACGTTGTTATAACGATGTTAAATCAAATTACCAATGCTCTATTCAATGATATGAAAACGAACTATGTGGCTCAAATGGTTCTTGAGGAACGTCGAAAAAAGCGGTGTAATGTTTCAGTCGATGTTGCAAGTTAAAAAAAATGATGTGCGTCACGGGACGCTCGACAGAAGTGATAACTTCATAAACTAATAGAAACCATAAAATATTGAACTTGTTTAACGCATGATGGCAATCATAATTTTATTTTATAATTTTAATATTCTGTTAGTCTAATAATTTATAAATGGATCAGGAATAGGTAAAATTTAATTTAATTTTCTTTTGAATGTAAAATATATTTTTTATTTGCAACATTTAACATTCTTTAACGAGATGTTGTACATATTGCTCTTCTTGGCTTTGTGTAAACTCTTCTTCTTGAGTTTCTGTATTTTTTTGTCGTAATTTCTTATTTGCTTTGTATAATCTTTGACGTTCAGCACTAGTTCGTGGTTGATGAAAGCTACTTTGAGTTGATCTATTACTTACTGCTCCTTTTTTAGCACGAAGTCGTTTTTGGCGTTCAGCATTACTTAATACTTTTCGCATTATGGCATGTTTTTGTGACTGCTCTTGTGTATGTTGTTCATGAACGTCTGCTACAACTTGTATCTGACTGGGACTAAAAAATCAATTAATTTTGGTGATTTGAAGACGTTCTATCTGTTTAAAATAGACTGTAAAACGAGCAAGAGCTATAGAGACAGGATACACTTGACACACTATATGTATACATAATGTAAGCCATCGCGGGTATGTTCAAAAAAAAGATTCTAACTCAACTAATCCAAGGCTAAAAAAATTAAACTAAATTGAGAAGATTTAATCATAAAGGAATCAAAGGGTGGTATATAAAGGGAAAAATCCATTTTGATGCGTGGTAAACACAATTAATCATTGAAATAATATAGAGAATTGAAAATATGCCCTAATAAATTCGTTTTACATATTTTGCAACTATAAGCTGAAGGGAGATTCGTATCGTCTTAACATCAAGAATGCGTTGCG